TCTCTTTTACATTTTTTTGCTACTGTACCCTAGTCAGAATAGCTGAGACTTCCCTGTAATTTCAAACTTCACTTGAGAGAGCTAACCCTGTTTTGGGCATCTTTGGCTTTAAAACTGATCATTCTAAAACTCAAATTGAATTTCCCTGCTCTACTTTCTCCACCCTTCCCTGAACATACAGCAGTGATTTCATGGGGCCTTTCTATAAACTGAGGCCAATACTTGGGGGAATACCCAAAACCCCCAAAAAGTATCATCTCCATTGTATCATATCTAGTGATATAAAGTGTTTGGCCCCTTTCCTTAGTTCCTTATGTCCTGAAATGAGACACAGGAGGGATAGGATTGTTTGTTCTCCCACTCGTAAACCTTAGTCTTCTCTCTCTTCTGCAGTCTACATGGGGAGGACAGAGAAGCACAAAGAACAAGAGAAAAGATGCATCCATCTGAGATCTAAAAGGAGAAAATGAGGTGATATTTTCCCACTGCCCAGGTGTTGTGTTTTCAGTTCATACCCTTTTTATTTTAGAGACTGGCCATTCCTAGGATGACCTGGGAATTTATCCCCTCTGCACTGCTCCCCAAGCACTTGGATAATGAAGCTGAGCAATCTTCAACTGTATTATATGTAGACAGAAGGTTACCATCTACAGCCTGGTGAAAAATAAGTCAGACTTTTTCACTGTAAAGACAGACATATGAGCTAAGCTAAGGTTGGTGGGTTTCCTTCAGAGAGCACTAGGTTGACCCTAAAGATTATTTCAGAGTTGCAAATTGCTCAATGACTAGGTCATTTTCCTGGAAAGGGGCTTGCAGACAATACTCAATTCCATACCTTTCTCTGGCCCCTTTGCCTTTTCCCCCTCCTCAATTATGCAAAGCTTTGATAGAGAGCAGAGCCAGCTATTCGACTCCAGCATGTTTTTGCTCAGATTTCATTCAGTTCAGGAAGGCACAGACAGTAAAGGACAATGCTGTGGGTTTGCTCTACTTGTAGTACCTGGATGGCTCACACCAAAGGCACATGGGAAGTTCTGTCTTATTAAGAATCACTAGGAGGCCGGGCGCGGTGGCTCAAGCCTGTAATCCCAGCACTTTGGGAGGCCGAGGCGGGTGGATCACAAGGTCAAGAGATCGAGACCATCCTGGCCAACATGGTGAAACCCCGTCTCTACTAAAAATACAAAAAATCAGCTGGGCATGGTGGTGCGTGCCTGTAATCCCAGCTACTCAGGAGTCTGAGGCAGGAGAATTGCCTGAACCCAGGACGCGGAGGTTGCGGTGAGCCAAGATCGCGCCATTGCACTCCAGCCTGGACAACAAGAGCGAAACTCCATCTCAAAAAAATAAAAAAGAATCACTGGTCTCCACCTCAGAACCCAGGTCCTAAGAAAAAGTGGAGAAAATTTTTCTACTTCTCCCTGTTATAGTTTAGAAATAATAACTAAAAACATGGTAGGAATCCTTGCCACTCTCTCCACCTTCACCCTCTTTCCATTCTTCTTATGACCTTTTACCCCTAGGCCACAATAAGCATGTGTTAAATGACTTTTTTTTTTAGGGTCTCTCTATGTTACCCAGGTTGGCCTTGAACTCCTGGCCTCAAGCAGTCCTCCTGCCTTGGCTTCCCAAAGTCCTGGGATTACAGGCATGCACCACCATGCCAAGCCTAAACTCCAATTTTGAAGTGTCTCTGGATTAAACAGGATTCTTCGTATTTGATGAGTTTTCATTAATTGTGATGTCCATTTTATTTCAGGCGTTTAGAGCCACCACATAGAGAAAACTTGACTTTCTGACATGTTTGTCACCAATACTTAGGGCCATGAGAATGTTTCTGGGGAAAGGCAGATGGTAGCTGATGCCTGACCTCCTCTTGGAAATCAGACACTGGATTGGTCCACACTGCTGCCTGTCTGGGAGTCTGGTGGGAAATCTGTCTAGAAAGGATGCCCATTCCTGTTCAAATGTTGTTGGGAGAAAGCCAGGGCCATGGAGGACTCTTGTTTATGCCAAGTAGATTCAGACAAATAGAGAACAGCTGGGCACAGTGGCATATGCACCAGTAGTCCCAACTACTCATGAGGCTGAGGAAGGAGCATTGCGTGGGGCCAGGAGTTTGATGGTATAGTGTACTATGACTGTGCCTGTGAACAGCCACTGCACTCCAGCCCAGACGACATAGTGAGATCCCATCTCTAGTATATAATAAATAAATAAGAACAAGGAAGAAAATCTGTCTCCAGAGGTTACAATGACCAACATTTCCTCCCTCTTCAGAGATATTCCTTTTGAATTGGAAGACTGTTTCTAGTTGCTTTGGTTCAGCTCAGAGCTGAATTTACAGTACATATGTGCCTAGCCCCCCATCACTGAGTGATGGTTATGTTGCTTTTTTTTTTTTTTTTTT